TCGTTTAAAAAAAATCACAAATTTTTAAAGTCCGTAGTTTCAACAAATTGCCATGAAGAGGAATTGTTCATACAACAGATTAAATAATTTGATTTAAAATAATATTCATGTTGTGGAGTGATTTCGCAGTGGAGGATTGTATTTGTACTAAGTCGGTCCTAAAATAGGTTCGACGTACAAAACGTATAGGAACTTCATATAATAGGTAATGACGCAGAGAAACCTAGTCGTATTCGCTGATACTTTAATATCCGACTAACGGTCGTCCGGCATCGACTGACTGACCAACTCACTGAGCAATATTCAGTCACCCTCCCACGAGGGCATCATGTGGTACAAGGCCGGTTTAACGTGGGATCTCCGAGCCCGCGGGCTCGGCCAAAAATATGCCCATTGAACCCGTATAAACGGGTTCAGGGTCGGTTTACTTCCCCGAAAGAGAATCCGCCCTTCGGCGTAGCCTCGTTCGAGTTCCTCCCCGCCCGAAGGCAGAGAGTTCAACCGGTCAGCTGGTCGTCCGACTTCAGACTGAACTCAGACCGACTCACTGAGCGACTTAGCGACTGCTACTACTCCTACTTATTATAGGTTCTATTAACTATAGAATAGGTGTGTTCCACTATAACACCCCACTCCAAAAACTTTACTCCGTCAGTTTTATTTATTTATTTTTTACAGGAAATATGAAGAAAAAACAAAAAAAAAACTTCATTTTTTTTAGCAACATCGTAGCGTATCTCCTATGTTTTGGACAAACTTTTAAATGATCAGTTACCTTTCTTTTTCTCCTGGATCGGCGTACCTCAGGTAAAATTGTTGCAGGCGTTGTTAGATCAAACGTATCGAAAATCACCTTCATCGGAGTTTCTTCCGCGGGACTGCTGTCAACCACGTCTGAAGTACGTCGTCTGATCTGGTTAATGTGCCGTCTGCACGTGAATTTTTCGCCTTTCACTAAGTACATCATATTGCCAATCCGCTTTTCTATTTTTTGGTACCTCTATAGTGTTACCAGAAACAACCTTCCGCTTTGACCTTCTTAAGGATGGGGTCACAATTTCTGTAGGTTCTTCTTGTGATTCTATTTGTTCAGCCACTAGCTTTCCTTTTGTTGATCTTGTGCTTCTTAATGTTTTCTGTGGTGACTTCAGTTGACTTAAATCATTTAATAATACTGCATGTCCTTGGCTGCGGGTAACTCGCTCCCCAGTTTTTCTCAGTGTCGGCTTCAGCTTTACTTTCTGGGGCTTTTTTTCACGTACACCGTCGGTGTTACCCATTCACTATACTCAACTTTTTTAAGTACACCGGTTTTCTCTAATCTGTCCAAATCTTTATCTATCTGTTCAATTGAGGCAAACGGCACATTCCTTTTCTTTTTGAATACCGCCTGAGCGTTTTCTTTTAGCTGGAATTTTGCCTCCCTCTTGGTACACGTTCCCAAACCTGGAGAAAAAACAGTAGGAAATGTTTCCTTAAGTTTCTTTACTAAATTTTTGGGCTTCGGAGTTTAAACTTTCTACCTTGTAACAGAAAGAAAGTAAGTTCGTGGTATTTTCCATGACAAATAGTTTAGCTTTTCGCGTTTTTTTATTTAACGTGACGTTTGTAACAAATTCTCCAATAAATTGTATTTTTTCTCCCGTCACTGACCTCGCGATTTTATTTGTCTTCATTAAAGTTGGTTTCCCCAACTTCTTCCACGTATGTAAATTTATGATAGATAGGTCAGAACCAGTGTCGAGTTGCATTTTTATTTTTTTTATTACTTATTTCGACGGTGACAAATTTTCTGGTTATTCCATCTTTTACCTCGTTGGACTTTAATTTTCTTATGTTATTGTCATTATTTTTTTAACCTGCAGTGCGAGCTTTTATGACCTACTCTTTTACAGTTGAAACATTTTTTTATTCCTAAAATTCCAATATCTGTACCAGTGTAGTTCACCGGAAGCAAAACATGGCTTCGGGAGTTTTTGTTTATTTTTCTCTGGTATTTCACTTTTTGCTTGATAATCCCCAATTTTAGAATTCTTTTTGGCAGACTTTCTTCTTTGTAGCGTATTTTCCTTACATGCGAAACGCCAGACTGTTCTATCTTTTTTTAATCTTTCTTTATGCTAACATATCTTGTGCGGTCTTCTGACAACTTCTGTACCGTAACACTCGGCTCGCTTTCCAATTTAGCCAGTACTAATTTTCTCAACTCTGCGTCTCTTTCCGATACCAGCCCCTGAACAAACACCAAGCACTTAAAATTGCCTGTGCTTAACTCTGCCAACTTGAATTCTTCACAATGCTTATTCATATTGGCTGCGTACGTTATATAGTCTTGTTGGTCATCTTTCATCAGATTCAAACATTTCCACCTCTTGTGAAACAAAGATGTCTTTTTACTAAATAATTCACTTAATATATTTACCGCCTCGGTAAATGTCAACTCGCTAGTTTTTTTCGGTAAAATGTAGTTTACCAATTTGTTATGCTCAGCAGTTCCTAATTTTCTTAAAAGAAGCCTAACCTTCTTTCCTTCAGACCATGAGTGGCAGTCCTCGTTATACACGTCCATATATTTTTTATAATACTCCTCAAAAGTTATCTCTTCATCTGGACTGTACGTGAATATTTCAATTGAATTCCATATTGTATTCTCTGGGAAGAATCATTCTGTAGATTTTTCTCTTTCCTCTTCTCAGTTTTCCAGAAATTTGTTTTGAAACTCCGTATGCATCTGTTCCATTTTTTTGTTGAAATTGCATTTGTCTATTGAAAGTTTCCTCCTGTAGTTGCATCTGGAATGTCTTCTGTTGCTCTAATATTGTCATCTGTTGTTCCGACTGGAACTTAAAGAATTCCTGTAATATATTTTTGCATTCCTCCATCTTCGCAAGAAGTTTACACAGTGCTTAAATATTGTTGAGGGGGGGGGGTCCTACGAGTTTGCAATTCGTAACCTATTTGAGCAAACTGTATTATCGAGAAAAAAAATTTCTTTTCTCCGTTGAGAACACGACAGATTTTTTCGTCACTAAGTTGACGTCTTGGCTTGCAAAAAACTTTTCCAAGTTTTTTTTTTTAAGTGTGAATCCGAGACTTTATCGCCGAAGTTATTGTGGCGAGCGAATTTTTTTTCCCTCCGTATGATTACTAATTCCTCGTCGCCAAATAATGTTGTGGCGAGCGATTTTTTTTTCCTCCGTATGAGTACGAATTCCTCGTCGCCAAATATTGTTGTTGAGTGATTTCGCAGTAAAGGCTTGTATTGGTACTAAGTCGGTCCTAAAATAGGTTCGACGTACAAAACGTTAGGAACTTGATATAATAGGTATAACGCAGAGTAATCTAGTTGTGGTCGCTGATACTTTAGTATTCGACTAACTGTCGTCCGACATCGACTGACTGACTCCTCGTTACTATTACTACTCCTACTTATTATAGGTGGGAGAGTCTATTAACTATAGAATAGGCGTGTTCCACTATAACAATTCAAAAATGTTTAAGAGAAAGGTAAGAGTGTTCGTTCTTCACAGAAGAAATGTGCTGTTGCATAAGTCCAAAAATAGATGCAGAGTAATAGTTTGAAATACATAGTTTTCTTGAATTGTTGAAATAAAATTCTTTGAAGTGCCAAGTACTTCATTAAGGCCGATAATATACTTAGCGAGTAATTTGACACTGACGAAAATCTGAACGCTGGATACGTGAACAGAAATTAAACTTTTCATCATGACTTCAGACACTGTTTTCTTGTTGAGTTTTTTTTTATTTTATATCAAAAATGATTTCGCATAGGCTCCCTGTTTTCTTGTCTAGGCTCAACGGCTATTTCTTGTGAGATTGGCCCAAAGAAAATTTCACATAGGCTCACGAATTTGTTTTCGTCTTTTTCCTCAGTTCGCCTGAATATGAAGCGGGTGGGTAAAGAGAGTTATTATTATTTCGTACTCACCACAAGTTTTTTTTTTGGGGGGGGGTTGTCAACAGTCCTTTTGTCGACTATAAAACACTCTTCCAGCTTACTACGTTGATCTTCAAAAATTTAAATATAATCTCAATCGTTTTCTTCTGTCTTCTTGATTCCTCTTCTTTTATTGTTCTTTTTACTTAATAATTAATCCTTATATACTTTTTTCTTTTTCTAGATTCAATGGCTATTTCCTGTGAGATTAGTCCAAAGAAAATTTCACATAGGCTCGCGAATTCATTTCTCTCTTTTTCCTCAGCTCGCCCGAATTTGAAAGCAATGGGTAAAGGGGGTTATTATTTCATACTCACTACATATTGCCAGTTTTTTTTTCTGTTTCAATTGACGAGGTAAACATGGTCTTCCACATGCTCTTACCTTTCTCTTTACATAGAAGTTGTCATATCTGGGATGTAGAATCTTGTGAATCATAATTCATTTCCGGGTTCAGCGATTCAAGTATATGCTTCGTCAAGACATTGAAGATTCGGCTACAAATAAAATAATAATAACTGGTTACTCATTTTCGACTACATACGACTCTGCTAGCGTCTCTAGCTAATCCCTATTGCGGGCGCCTGCTCTGGTAATTATATGTTTCTTCAAATCCCACAACTTCAGCTGTATCGAGTGAACTTTAGCTACAGTTTCTTGGAGTGTGATCAGTAATTGAACAAAGTTAGTACACTCACTATCTATCACGATAACTTACGACTTTTTGCTACCACAGCTATTGACGGCTTCCGAAATGTTTTGTTTTCTAAATTTAGTTCACAAAGCCTGGGTTAACGTGTGGGGTATGGCTTTCCGTCGTTTTCCAATGGTAACATGCGCTGTAATCATTTCTCCATGTTCTCAAGAAGTAACAGTTTGACAAATTGACCACGGTGCGATTCGAACTCCGGTCTTGGGGTCAAAACGCTTTCTAACGACACACGGACATGCAACCTCTATAAATATTGCTTATATATCTACTGTGTATTCTTGATTGTATGAAATTTCTGGTTATAATTCATAATCTCTTGGGATTACCACCATATGACGTTGAAACACCGATTCTCTTCCGATCACCGAAGTTAAGCAACGTCGAGTATGGTGAGTATCTAGATGGGTTCCTGCTTGGGAATACCAGGTGCTGTAAGTTTGGATGTGCGGTTGGTGTAACGACTCGAAATTGGAAGCCGTGTTTCAGTGTTAGTCAAGTTTCTTAGATTCCCTTGTGCATATTGTGAAAAGGTATGATTGCACCTCTTCTCTCCCCAGCTGTGGGTTAAATAGTAAGATTTGTACAAGTGAATCATTATTATCTAATACTAGCAGCATGGCCCGGCGTTGCCCATGCTTGATTCAAAAATCGTACGACTCATACAGCAATCGCTGTCACTTGACTTAAAATATTTTTGCCCTTCCTTGCCTTTAAAGGAGTGCCCTTTGCCGTGCTGATGTTGCTACATGCCTTACGTCTTGCCTATCTCACACTGCGAATTTTTTCTAAGCTCTACACTAAACATTAAATCTGTTGCGAAAAAAGAACTAAACAAAATGAACACAAAACGATCAGCTTTAAAAAAAGGACTCGTAACTGGAAAAACCGAATGAAAAAAGAATATTAACAACAAATACTTTTTCAGACCCAACCCAGTTCTGCAGAATCAGAATCAACGTTGAGTTTAAGCAAGCGAATGAGCTAATTGGAGTAAAGTGCTATGCAGATTTAAATTTTTCCCACTTGTGACAAATGCAGCTATCGATTTTTTTGCATGCTAGTTAACATTCGTGTCAGTCAGCTGTTGGCTCTCACGCTGGCCAATAGAATCTTCCTGCCTATTCGTGGCAGCCAGCTATAGGCTCTAACTCTGGCCAGTAGAAAATGGCTGCAAACTGCATGAAAACTGCCGTAGAAGCATGAAAAAATGGATTATTTCCACTATATGGGAGTTGGGAAATGCAAAGTCGGTCTTGGCCTTTTCCCTAACTTAGAGCATGTGCATGTAAATTTTGGTGAAAATCCGTCGAAAATTGCGGCCGTGCATTCGTTACACACACACACACACACACTCACACACATCCTGCCTTTTATAGATAGAGATAAAGAATTCAGTAATACAAATGTATTTAATGGATTTAAGTATCCTGCAAAAGGTTGATAAGCCGTAAAAACAGATCAATCAAACAATAATTTCTTCTTCTATCGTTCCTGAAATTACGTTTTACACCAACCATATATTTTGTTAGGATTTTTCCCGTAAATCATCTTTTTCTTCTTATGGCCCTATTATTCGGACCAGCATACTTGTGTTGCATCTAATATTCACAGCGTTTCGCCTATCTGTCTTATGTCTTGCTATTCGGTTTGATTTGGTTTATTTTGCTTTACGGCATATCAACCTCAATGGGTTATTTAATGCTGAAAAGATTTTTTAGGATAGATTCGTATAAAAAGAATAAATATTCTTTGTAAGAAATCAGTTTACATATCAGTTTTCATTGACGTATTTAAAATATTTATTAATACTTTTATTTTTCAAAAATTACTGGTAATTTTTTTTTAATTGCTGAAAATATATTGCTGGTATTTTTACTATAAAATGTATTTTATACTGGTTTGACCCCAGTTTGGGGGTTAACTATTTGCCTATAGTTGAGACCCTAACAGATTCTACCACGCCAATTGCTATTCGGACCACCATACCCATGTTGGTTTCTATAGTCACAACGTTTCGGCTGTAACCTACGGTTTTCTTCAGGTATCTGTCACCGTACTTGGTAACTTCAGAATTTGAACTGAACCCTTTATTCAGTGAACCGGATAAAGTTGTCCTCATTTCGCTTTCCGTGGTCACGAGAGAAAAACTCATATCATTTAATAGGCAACATTTTTATTCACCTTGTATATTTCTTCCACAGGACCAGAATATTTGACTGTCTGGATTTATTTTCATAACATTTTCTCTGTTTGCTTGACTATGACCTTAATGTAGCGGATGTTTAAATCAAGGTTGTCCTTCCCCTAAATTTACTACCTTTCTGCGTTGAGCTCCATCTGCCCGATGCAACTGGTCATGAGGCGCCAGTTTTCCGCCTCCGTCCATCCTTTGGCTTTAAATGCTATAAATAATAATGTCTCTTGTTTTGAAAAGGGTGCTTTTGACTGTAATGTGTAAATTCGCTGTCTGTGCCATTTGAAACAGCACTTTCCTTCTTCTTCTTTCGCAGTTTCTTTACTTTTCTTTGCACAGTCTGGTGTGTATCGCTGTCATAATTATGGATTTGTTTTTTATCTGCTGATATTTTTAGATTCTCATTATTATTTTATTTTTATTTTTCTATACTTTATGAATGTTGCATTTATCATTCATTCAAAACCGTTGTCATTTTCTTATTACAGCTTTCCCAGTTTCAAATTCTATTTTTGTTTTATTATTTGCTTCCGACGGACGCTAATATTTTTTGGTCATTTCCCCAACATGAATATTCGAATTTGGTTATGTGTTCTTTAGCCAAGGCGGTTATATATTTCTTTTGAAATTAACTTGAATTTACATCAAATTATTTTCTCATTTGTCGACTCATTCGTTTTTTATTTCTATGTCACATATTCTTTAGTGTGTTACTACATTAACTAAAAAGTTAAATGGCTCTACTTGCTTGGTTTCGATCTACTTTTGTTGACAATTCTTCAAGTGTACTAAGAGTGTTAAAATATGAAAAGGAAAGCCTAAAAAATATTGTGATTTCTACAAAGGGCTATATAATAAGTGAATGTACGAAAATATATAATAAAGTTATCAACGAAACAATATAATAAATTTCAATATATATATATGTCTGGTATTCTCCACAATTGTCCAAATCGTATAACAGCAAAATTGTCCCAATTGTTAGATTAAGCTTTGAAACGTTATATCTTAAAAATGATTAAAGATATTTTGCTGAAATTCTCCGAGATTTTTTTAACACTATTGGACTCTAATTTGAACAATAAGAATGTATTGAAAGTTGAAATGATGCCCCCCGCCCTTGCTGTTGTGGCCTCCTCATCCAATTTTCCTCCCTCTTTTTTAAACATCAAGAAAACGGTGACTTCACCGTTCTCTTAATGCTTCTTGAATGGACTTTGAAGGTGAAAGCAAGACTATGAATGTTGTTACCATTAATGAAGGCCTGAATGTTCTTTTTCCTCTCACCATTGCTCAGTTGGGAAGATATGGGGGATGAGGCTGACACCAACTATTTTAACTTGTTCTCTTTCTAGCTGAATAACTCAAAGGGTTATATATTTATTATTAATTGTTACCATGATTGTTATTTTATTATTAAATTTTTATAGTACTTTAAATTTAAAACTTACCTTGAAATTTTGAAGGGATGATTTGTAAAGGCGCTAATGATGAAACAGAACTGAATAAGGCAAGTGTCAGACTACACTTAAATCACGTGACCTTTTTAAGGATTATGTTGTGTATAGCTTCCCATAGGTAGAAATTGGGAATGCTTTATATATTAAAAATTATTTTTTTAAATTCTTTTTAAAATATGTTGTTATGAGTTTTTCAATTTTTGATTCGTAAAATTAATTTTCACGTAACAATATCACCAAACCTTCACTTTGAAAGCAATGAAGTATTTTTAAACGATTTTTTAATATAAGAAATTGTTTAATTAAAATTTTTAAAAAAATGAAAACAATTCTTGTAAAAATTAATTATTCACCGAAAAAAAAAAATTCTTCTTAATACAATAATGTCCTGAATAGATCTTATTTATCAAAGGAATTAAAAGATTTTCTAATTAAATAATGTTGTAGTTATATTACTTATTTTTATTTTACAATTCAAAGAAGATTTTCGGTGAAAAATCTAATGTTTTACAAAAAATCAGGACTTCCTGAAAAAAAATTAAATCATCAATTTTTGATGATTTAATTTTTTTCAGGAAGTCCTGATTTTAACTAAAAAAAAAAAAAAAAAAAAATCCCCGCCCTAAAAATTTAATTTCTCTGAATTTCGTGAAATTAAGTAAGTGGGTGGTAACATATGTAAAAAAAAAAAAAAAATTTTATCAAGATTTTATAAAAAAAATTCAAGTTTCATTCATTTCTGAATACGTTCTGAAAGTTTCATTAAAATCCGACAATTATTTGATTTGTGAAAAAATTTCCAAATTAATGTGTTTTTCACCGGAAAAAGTGCAAAAAACTAACCTTTATGTTTGGTATCCCGCTGACGTAAAAAAAAAAGAAAAAAAACAAGATTTTTAACCAAAATTTCGAACGTACTTCAAAGGAGTAAAAAAAAATATTAAAATATAACAAAAATACTTTGGTCTCTCTTCTCAATAATAACATAAATATTTTAATGACAACACTTTGTTTTTATTGAGTTTGGGGCCTTTTTTTATCATGCGATGTTTTTTTTTTACGCGAGCACGTGGAGGTACCTATAATACTACTTTGCTTAAAAACGTAAATCTTTTTTTCTGAAGTTATTCAACATCGCTTGAAAATAGAACAAAAATTCTAATTTTAATTTTTTGTTCCGAAACATAGTAATTTCTATGTCTCGATGAAAACATATTTTAATAAATATATATATATATATATATATATATATATATATGTGTGTGTGTGTGTGTGTGTGTGTGTGTGTGTGTGTGTGTGTGTGTGTGAAAATTTATAGAAAATAGGAAGGAACTGGTTAGGTAAATAATCCAAAGTCCCTTAGTATTTTAGTTATTATTTTTAAAAAAATAGTGCTCGATACAAAAGTAGAGCATAAATATAATTATTTATTTAAAAATATGATTCCAAAACGCGACATAAGAAGTCTCATGTTTCAAAACAAGAGCCGAAAACTTCAATATAATTATTTAAATTAAATTGAGTTAAAATAAGCTCTGTTCCATCTTCAAGCGAAATTTTTTTGGAATAACGTATATCCGAAATTTACGTGTTTTAAAAATTGAAATCAAAATTTCCATGGTAACAGCTAGGGCGAATTGTTTAAATTGGGTAGGCGAGTGTTGGGTGTTAATAATAAGTATCAGTATAGAGTTACTTTCGTAGATGTCAAGTCAGGGACAGGTGAGGGTGTCTAAATTTTAAACGGAAGATGTACTAACCCGCGTCTAGTTTGCATGTCT